CCCCCAGGTGCAGAGCCCAGGGTCTGGGGAGGAAATGGAAGAGGCTGAACGGAATGAGGTGGGGAATCAGAAACTCTGTGGGAGGAATGGGGTCAGGGAAGGGTACCGGGGACAAGGAGAGGACAGGGAACAGAAGAGCAGAGGAGAGGTGGGGGTGAGGTTTGGGGGTGGTGGCGGTCAGAGGTAGGATCCCAGAAGTGTGAGCCTGACCAGCCTTGGTCATGTGGGCTTTTCTCCTGTAGGAAATGACCCTTCTGAGAGAAATGGATTGTGGGAGACTCCTAAGATTCCTCAAAGTTTCTGGCAGCCCTTGTGTGCTCTGTTCCACGGTCCTAGTACATCCCCCTGTGCTGTGCGGAATGAGATCAACCTCTGTCCCTAGGTCTCTTCCTTTCTGTCCCCAGTACTCACAGCAGGACTTGTGGGGCACCAACTAGCAACTCTTCTTTCCTCAAACACACACCAACACACACATAGAGACACATATACACATAGCCACACAGGCATACACACATGCACATAAACACATACACATACATGCAAACACACACACACTTTCTTGCTCTACCCAAAGCTCTGCTAGCAACAATAAATTTATTAGTGATGTTTGCACTGGATCCTCTCACCAGTCCATGGCCAGTTAGTTCCCCCAGGTATGAGGGATGCTGGGACTTGGGACAGGGGATCCTGGGTGATGGTCACTGAGCATGACCACCTGGTCATTTGATTGGCAGTTAACATCAGGGTGGCCCAAATTCACTTGACTCATCGATTTGGAGCCCATTGTGTGTTACTGTGAATGGGCTGCTCCCAGGGACTTCAAGGAGTTTGCCTCCTGATTTGAGATTTTCCCTGAACAGGATGCAGAGTGGTCTGTTTGTTGCAACCACCTGCAACCAGCACCAGTTCTGTTGGTCACAGGGCAAGGAAGGTTCATGAGAATTCCTTGTCCAGACTTTCTCTATGATGAAGAGGCCATTGGGGTCTAGCCATGATCTACAGCATCATCTTTTTCCACATTCCCTAGAGTCACGTGCATGACAAAGAGTGTCCTGAGAATCGAACCAGATGACACTTCCTCAGCCTGGGGTCAGGGGTATCAGTTAAGAGGGCAGCAGAGTAGATCAGAAGGTGTCTGGTAAGAGGGGAGGCGGGTTCTGACCACTGTGACTCGGCTGGTTGGAGCATCCTAGCACAGCCAAAAGGCTGGGGCTTCGATTTCTTGTCTGGGTATATGTATAAGCTGTGGGTTCTCATCAATGTTCTCTCTCGCTCTCTTAAAAAAAATAAAAATTTTAAAAAAAGCAATGTAAAATTATCCTCCATTGTGGATCAAAAAAAAAAAAGAGGAGAGGTCTTTTTAAGAGAGATCAACTTGAATGTCTTCTAAATATGTGGCCTAGAAGATATTGGTTTACTGTGATAAAATAAAAAAATACACACACACACAGAAAAAATAACCATACATATTCATTTATGTCAAGGACCAAATGAATGGTATAGAGCAGTGGTTTTCTCTTCTCTTCTATTTTATTTTATTTTTCTTATTTTAATTGTTGTTCAAGTACAGTTTTCTGTCTTTTACTCCCATCCCAGCCCACCCACCCTAGAGAAGTGGTTTTCAAATCACAGTGAACAGGAGAGAAACACTTGGGAGCCCTTTAAAAAGTGCAGGCTTCACCCAGATCTACTGAACCAGCTCTCGGGGAGGGAGGGGCAGGGATGGGGAGTCTGTGGTTTGGACACATTCTGGACGATGCTGCCTTTATTTCTTTACTCCTGGAAAGCCTCCAGGAAGTGACCCCGCCTTTAGGGGGGCCGTCACCTCCCCTCAGGGAGCACCAACTGTGACCCGGCTCCCTCTTGTGGTTGATTCCCCTGCCGCAGAGGCTCCCAATCTGAGGGAGCCCCAGTCTCCCAGGGGAGGGCTCCCTGGCACTTCTGGCCCCTGGAACTTGCTGCTGCCTCCTCCCTAGAGCCTCAGCCCCACTCCTGGGACCAGGCTGGATTCCCAGTTGCCCTTCACCCCTTCCTTCAGGCCTGCAGTCTGTGACTCGGCCCCAAGTACAAGTTCTGACCATAACACCTGGGACACAGTGGTTACTCAACAAATGTTGAAACAGCGAACGTACTAAAGAGTCAAATGCATCCATTCAGCTCTCAAATTTCTAATGACATGTCCAGATAGAGAAAAATAAGTAATACAATGTCTGCTGTTGTTACTTGTATCTCTATTATCTGTCATTTACTGAGCACTTCCCAGGGCCCAGCACCAGTCTAACCACCTTGCTTCTGTCAGATTTCCTGGTCTGCACGTTCACCAGGAAGAGCACAGCTTCCTGAATTGTTTCTGAAGGATGTTAATTAAAAATAAATCAACATAAATAATATTTTTCTTCTAAAATATATTTTGATATGTGTAAGGAAATGCTGAACATACATAGGTAGTCATGGCTAAACAGCCATCTGCCATTTAAGACGGACACGCCATCTCTGTAACTGCAAAAGTTAGAACTCGCTCAGGGAGAGTGGGAGTTGAGAAGCGGTGGCCCATCCACACGGCGGGGTCACCTGTGGGGGGGGCTCTGCCCACAGGGCCTCCACAGATGAGAATAAGTCTACCAAGACATGATCTGCTGGGGGAGGAAAGGTGGCCAGTCTCTCAAAGGAGAAGGGCCAAGAGCCTTTTCCTCAGTGGGCTTTTATTGGGTTCATTTTGCACAGGAGTACAGGTAATCATTAATCATTGTCAGGCAGTAAGGATTAAACAATAGATAACATACAAAGAACTGTGAGGGCTTATTCTGAGTCAGGGTCTGTTAGCTAAGGGGCTACAAACCTTTGGGAAACAAATTCATTTCCTGCTCGGACCCTTATCATTTAATTAAGAGCATTCTTAGCAAAGCAGGTTTCACAGGATTTTATATATTCTTTCTCAGGCCTGATCACCTGGGGAAACTGCCCTTTCCAGCACAGGGCTGCACCACCCCCTGTCATTGTTTCAGGCTTAAGTCAGTCGGGGGAAGTAAGGCAGCCAAGAGAGTAGGAGATTTCTCACAGACAGAATGAGGACTCAGGCTATGTCAAAGCCAAGGGGCGAGGGTCCATCACCCCCTTTTGCTATAGCCCCCCCAAGTCCTTCCCTGGGGCCTCCCCATGATCGTGCCTGTCCTAGGTCATTTCCTCCTTGGGGAACCTTATCTGTCATTGGCTGACCAATGAAGCACTGGGGGCCAGTCATGGATGAAGTAAAAGGAGCAGAAGCCGCCCTCCTGCCAGGGAGATAAGCTTTGTCTCCTTAGTGGCTTACGATCTGAAGGTCACTCACTCAGCTTTAGCCATGGGGGTGGAGGGGTGGTTACAGCTTGTGAAACCTGGCGGGGCGGTTCCCAACAATAATGTACAGTTGATAGAAAGAATGAGGAAGGTCTCTCCTGTTTGTTTTGTTTTGCTGTCTTTTCTCCTCACCAAGGACAGTTGCTCACTGTTTTCAGAGAGAGGGGAAGGGAGAGGCAGGGACAGAAACGCCGATGTGAGAGAGAAATATCGATTGGTTGCTTACTGTATGTGCCCCAACCAGGGATCAAACCCACAGCCTAGGCAGGTGCCCTCAACAGGAATCGAACCTGCAACCTGTGGGTGCACAGGTCAGCGCTCCAACCAACCGAGCCACACCTGCCACAGGGAGGAATGTCACTTTGAAACAGTGTGGAAGGATGTCTGTGATGTAGTGGAAAATGCAAGATGCAAAGAACAGTGTCAAATACGTGCTACCTTTGGGGTAGAAAAGAGGGAAACAGACATTTACAAAAAGCCACACTGGATCGACCAACCAGAAACTGATGAAAATGAGGGGAAAGGAGGATAAATTAGATGGAGTGGTTTGAAGCAACAGTGAGCACTGAGTTTTTTTAAAGATTTGTTTACTGATTGGAAAGAGAGAAAGAGATGGAGAAGCCTCAGGTTGTTGTTCCACTTACTGATGCATTCATTGGTTGACTCTTTCATGTGCCCTGACTGGGGATCGAACCGGCGACTCTGGCGCATCAGCATCATGCTCTGACCACCTGAGCCACACGGACTTTGGAAACATATACATGCTGTACAATTTTAATAAAATCCAAACAAAAAATTGTAAAATTTAAAACAAACAGCAGTGAAACACACAGAGAAAATGTTAGTTAAAGCAATTAGTTAAAATATTAGTTAAAGTAACTAGAAAGCAATACTGTATGTTTTAGTGGAATATATATTAAAGGCAAAAAATGTCAATTATCACTCAATAGTTTTAAGTCATTGTTAACTGTAATACTCTGTATTATTTGAAACTATCTTATGTATATTACAGGATAGAGCAAATAAGTAATTGCTGATGTAATGCAATTAGGGATGAAGATCTTCGATGTACAAAAGGAAGAATGAAGAAGCTGAATGATAACAAACGTCCATTCTAACTAATAATTTACTTTCTATCTATAAACTCTGCCCCAGCAAACGGAGAGCCCAGAGCCAGTGACGCCTCGGCAGCAATGAGCGTCCCCAGCGCCCTGACTGCGGCTTCCAAACCCCAGTGTCCGTGACGGAGACGGAGCTTCCTGGAGACGGACTGACCTCAGGTCTGGGTTGGGGCAGACAAGGCGTGTTTTAGAAAACAAGGAAGTTTCAAAGGCTGACAGAGTCCTGTCAGAAGAAAAGAGCAGCCAGCGTGAAGGGGTTCTCATGTGGGACAATTCGAGCATCGGAAAAATGACCACAATCATCTTAAATCACTGAATGTATAAAAAGCCTAATCATGAACCAATAAAGATAAAACACACAGGCAACCACCAAACTTAACTGTCAGCACCGGACGTGACATGTGAATTGCTCACACAGAAAACCGGTACTTACACAAAACAAGCTCATCTATCCTGACCTTTCAGAAGGAACCGAGCCGTTCCCTTGGGGAGAAAAGCTCCCCCCTTCACATGCTGCCTCCCGTCCTGCTCACTGCCTGGCTCATGGCCGCTGCAGATGCCCCTGCAGACGGAAGGAGCCAGGCCAGAGCCGTGACCCTGCCCGCCATCGCCCGCTGCCCTGCTGAGTCCCTGTGGAACGGGGGCGTCAGGGGTGATGCTCAGGTGGGCCAGGGGGGTGGGACTGCGGGGGGTTTGTAGCCCCAGGAGCTGCGTTCCATCCTGAGTCTCTTCTCTCTTATTTTCCCTCCTGTGTGGGGTCATCTTTTCCTTTCTTGTTCTAGCAACAGTAACACCCACTGTTTACTGAACCCTCCCAAGTGCCAGATCTCATTTTATTTTCACAACAACCACTTCAGAAAGGCGTGTATCATTCTTAGTGTAGCAATGAAAAGACGGAGACTCAGAGAGACCAATGAATGTCTCAGGAGCCCCGTGGCCCCGCCCTGATGACTGAAGAGTCACAGCTCTGCGTCCTCTGGGACAGTCTGTCTCTCTGCCATTTCCGAGGGAAACTTCTCAAAATAAAGTCTGCGATGTCTGTTTTTGACTTTGTCCCATTTCAATCGGTCCTCGGTTCTGCATTCTCCCTGAGCCTCCCCACCCCTGAGAGTGTCCACACAACAGAACCAGTGGTCACTTCTCTCTGTATCTTACCTGCGTGATTAGTAATATTTGCAGTGTGACCGCTTCCTCCTTCCTGGAACTTTCCTCTTGCCCCTGTGTTTCATGAGCAGGCTTCCTCCTTGTTTTCCTCCTACTGTTTAAGCCTGTCCTTTCCTCCTTTCCAGCCTTTTGTCAGAACCCAGGGCCGCACACACAGATCCTGCTTTTATGACTTTATATACTTTTCTTGGGTGACCCAATAGGAACTTATAACTTCACCCACCATGAGGACTTTTAGTCTATGCACCTAGTGCAATGTAGCCCAAGATGTATCCATTTATTTCACCCACCCTCAAATCAACTCCACATTGTCCCCTGGAAATTCAAACTCAGCATGTCCCAGAGAGAACACTTTCTCCTCCTTCTATCACTTTCCTATCCGTCATCACCTCCTCAGACTCCGCAGTTCTCCACCTGCCCGGTTCTACTGGACCTCATATCCCTGCTCCCACCCCACCAGGTACTGATTCCTGTGGCTTCTCATCTCTCCCTTTTTTTCCACAAGATTTTATTCATTTATTTTTAGAGAGAGGAAAGGAGAGAGAAAGAGAAGGAGAGAAACATCAGTGTGGTGTTCCCTCTTGAACCCTCCCTACTGGGGACCTGGCCTGCAACTCAGGCATGTGCCCTGACTGGGAATCCAACTGGCGACCCTTTGGTTCACGGGCTGGTGCTCGATGCACTGAGCCACACCAGCCAGGGCAGCTTCTCATCTGCCGTTCAGACCCATCCAGTCTTCTCGCCCTGTGTTCCTGCCCCACCGACACCTCCTCACCTGATTGCCTGAGTCCACCTGCTCTTGCCTTCACACTGGCCTCCCCCAGTCCATCTGCCCTTGTGTTGCCACCTCCAAGAACAAATCTGACCACGTCACTGTCTTGACTGAAAGTCTTCTACGATTCCCCAGGGGCTGTGGGACAAAGTGCAAACACCCGCTCAGCCCAGGGCAGGGCACGGGGCAGCCCCCACCGCTCAGCTCTGTCACTCCGACCACAGCTTCACGTCTCCAGGCACGTCCACGCCTCTGCGCTCCTGAGCCCACGTCCCTGCTGGCAATGCCATTTCCCCCTTTCTCTGCTTCGCTAACCGCGGGGAAACCGCAGCTCTAGGAAGCCGCCCTCAGGTCCCATTTTGACATCGATGCTTCCTTTTGTTCCTGAGCAGCATCTCGGGTACATCTCGTGATTCCTCAGCAGTGATCAGACCAGACACGGTATGTGCAGTAACGGTTTGTCTTTCTCATTCTTCGGATCCTGAGCAGTTTGAGGACGAGGGCCGTGTGTTCTGAGTTACATCTCTGGTGCCTGGAGTGTGAAACTTCATTATAAACGTTTTCTTGACCTAATAAAAATTAACATTATTGCTTCAAAATGCACAGACCTTCAGTTTTAGGAATTTGTGAAAAGGATACAAATTAAATATCTGCTCTGGCTGGTGTGCCTCAGTGGATTGACAAGAGGCCTGCAAACCAAAGGGTCATTAGTTCGATTCCCAGGCGGGGCACATGCCTGGATTGCAAGCCAAGTCCCCAGTTGGGGGCACATGACAGGCAATCACATTGACATTTCTGTCTCTTTCTCTCTCCATTTCCCTCTCTCTAAAACAAATAAATAAAATCTTTTAAAACAGAAATACCCTAAAGTGAACAAACTACATCCGTATAGCTAAGCCTGCACTGTTTTTCCCCTCCTTCCATTTTTTTTAGCTTCTTTTCTGTGGGTGAGTGATTCTCTAGCCACTGTGTTCAGAGGAGGACCCCGAGCAGTCACACGTGACCGTGGATCCTGTCACCGGGACTGTCTAAGGAGAGAATCGTTTCCCACAGGTTGGGGCTGTGAGGACAGGTCTTTAATTAGGGAGTGGGAACCCTGCGGTGTCCGCTCCCCTGAGCTCCTCCTTCCTCAGCCCCGCACGCTGTCACTTTGATGGTTTTGCAGTAACACTAACAGACTTTTTGTGGTCAACCTTTTGCTGCTTCTTACACATCCATTCAAACTAAGATACTATCCCAGGGGTGTTGTAAATGCAACCACTTCATTTCCAATGGCAACTGCAGTGACACACATATTTTCAACAAGAAAACTGGTGAAGGTGTAAGTAGTGATATTTTTAAATTCAATATGCCTAAAATGAAAGTGTTGTGAACAAAATTACATCCCCTACCATTTTTATTAAATAGAGAAAGTAACGTGGCGTCTGTATATAGCACCAAACCTCAGAGGGTTTTTCATTTCTTTCACTGTTTAGCCACTTTTCCACTCGGAAAACTTCTTATTCCCTCTCCCTGCCCCACTCCGCGGCCTCCTCACGCCTGGTCCTCTAAGGCTCCTGAGAGGCCGTGGGAGTGGGTGGGGAGGGCGGCCCGATGTTGCTTCTACCGGGGGTTGGTCACTGCGGGCCAGTTACTCAACCCCGTGGCCAGTGCCCTCATAAGCAGAATAATGCTCCTCCTGGGGGTGGGGGGAGGGAAGATTCAGTGAGTGAGTTGAGCTCGTGGTCCGTCCTCAGTAAATACTATCTTACTGTTGTGTTCAACATCCTCATTACTGTACCGGAGGGACGGATGCTTCAGTCTGCAGGGACAGGAGAAGCAACCTCAGTTTTCAAGAAGTCGTCTCTCTTGTCGTCTTTCCCATTTCTTTTCTTTCACGCTGCATTCCTCACATTCCGTGCTTTCCCTTCACCTGCCAGTAACCCTCCTTGACCTGCTCCCTTTCTGTGTTCCGTTCTCTTTCCTCCTCACTCGCCTGCCCACCAGGCTGCCCTCTCGTCCTCCGTGCAGTGGACCACGGGTCAGCGAGGCCGAGTCTGTGCAGACTCGCAGGCCCCCCGGGGAGCTCATGCTCCAACCTGACCAGGACGAGCAGGTCTACGTGGACCTGGATGAGAAGGAGACCGTCTGGCCACTGCGGGAGTCTCTTCACGCCTTTGACTATGATGCTCGGAGGGCTGATGCTGACACCGTCGTGGCAACAAGGAACTCGAACACCCTGATCCATTGGTCCAACCACCGTGGGGCCACAGATGGCACTGCTCACCCTTGCTGGCTCCTCTCCAGCCCCGCTGCAGGGTGGGGGAGCCCCTGTGCCACACGGGGGACAGGAGGCCCAGATGCCCCCTCGTGATGAACCCCTGAGAGTGGGCAGGATTCCATCCACATTCAGGGCACTGAGGCCATCAGAGGAGGCATCTTCCTCTTACCAAGAGCGAGGCTGGGATGAGGGAGGCAGGTCAGGAGCCCGAGCAGCTGGGACTCTGAGCTGGGAGCCCTGGGGGCAGAGGGTGGGCCTGACAGAGGTGGGCCCTCATCTGAGGATATTGGGCCTGAGGTGGGCCTTGGAGATGCAGACGGAGGCGGTAGACTCACCAGGGCCCGTCCCCTGTCACAGGCCCCTGAGGTGACTGTGTTTCCCAAGGAGCCGGTGCAGCTGGGGCAGCCCCACACTCTCATCTGCCAGGTGGACGAGTTCTTCCCACCCGTGCTCAGTGTCAGCCGGCTGCACAATGGGCAGGCAGTGACCGAAGGGGTGGCCGAGACCATCTTCCTGCCCAGCACAGAACTCAGATTCCACAAGTTCCGCTCCCTGACCTTCGTGCCCTCAGCAGACGGCGTCTACGACTGCGGGTGGAGCACTGGGGCCTGGACGGGCCACTCCTCCCCTGGGGGATGGAGCCCCTGCCTTTGCCAACGCCATCCTGACACCATCTGGACTCCCAGGACCCCTCTCTCCCTGGTATCCGCTTTCCTTAATTCCGTGGTTTATTGTCACTACATACAAACCTCACATCTCATGGTTTCTGACTCTTAATTCTTAATGCCCCACCCCTGAGGCCAGTCCTGCTCTTTGCACCTCTGACTCCCTCTGTCCCGTGTGTCCCAGAGGCCCAGGAGCAGATCCAGGTGCCAGAGACGAGGGAGACTGTGGTCTGTGCACTGGGCCTGGTGGGGGGCCTGGCGGGGATCATCGCCGGCACCATGGTCCTGAAGACCAGGAGACCCGAGAGCACCCCAGGTGCAGGGACCCCTGTGAGTCAGCCCAGGTGGGGGATATTAGGGACACCGTGGGGAGAGGCATGTGCTCCTGAACAAGGGCCTGCTGCCCTACCACATAGAAGCCAATGCTGTGGCATCAGCTTTTGAGAGAAGAAGGGACTTTATTTGTGGGTCAACTGTCAAGGAAACAGGAGGCAGCTCAAGTCTGTGTCTCAGGACCCAGGGTTGGGGGAGGGGCTTTAGGGGGAGCAGTTAAGGGTTCACGGAGGTCACTCGTGAGTGGTGCCTCACACGTGTTACTGGTAAGTGATGCATCCACCGTTTAAACTCTGGGTCTGGGTCTGGTTAGAAACCGCCTAGGACCGGTTGGAGCAGCTCTGTGGACAGATGGGAAGGAGAGGCACTTCAACGGTGTCTGGTCACTGAACCAGGGGGAGGCAGCGACAGGAGCCACGGGGAAGCACTTCCGCTGAGGCGCTGACTCCGAACCAGGCACCGGTCTGTGTGCCTCTTCTGTGTTCGCTTCCTCACCTTTGGACGTTGCTCCATCATTTCCCAAGTACAGACGGGAAACAGACACGTGGGGAGGCGAAGGAATCTGTCCAAGTTCACGCAGCCTGAGAAGTACGGAGCCTGGATCTGAACTTGGGCACTTGGGGCTCCAGAGGCTGCAGGCTTACTCACTATGTGGATTTTATCATCTGCAGCCAGTACCTCCCTCCCGTACAGTCTTCATCGCCTTGATTTTCTTCTGCTCTCGTAACGATGTGTAGAACCTCTGGTGCGAGTCTGACAGGTGTAATAAGGAACGTTCTACATTTTGTATAACCTCAAAGGGAATGCATCTAATTTCTCCATAAATATATTTGCTATAAATTTTGCTTTGTAATCTTTACCATGTGCTGAATATATCAGATTTTGTTTATGCACTTATTGAATTGAAATGAGTGGACATGAACATGAATTTTCTTTTTTGGTTTACTAATTTTGGGTCACATTTTAGCTCTCTTGATATTGAACCGTTGTTGCACCCTGGGCTTTTCTGTAGGTCTCAGCCTATCAGTGGTGAGGCCGTCAGCTGTGAATGCCCCGGGGCCCTCACCTGGGCACCCAGTTCTTGTGGAGACCCCCACAGACATTCCCCAAAGCAGAGCCAGTGCTGTGGCTGGACTGGCCCTTGTGGTTTGTGGTAGGATTGCAAGATGCACCTCAGCCATGCCCATCAGGGGACTGTTGACAAACAAGGTTTATTACTGACAGGCCCTGGAGGGTTGTGGTGGCGTGTCCAGGGGATGCACAGGGAGAGGGAGGGCGGGGAGAGAGAGAGACCCCCGGGGGTCTTCCTTTATTGGGGTTGAGACTAGGTTGCCTAGGGTTTCCTGGTTCAGTCTTTGTTGGTGAATTTAAAACAATAGAGCCACAGTCAAAGCGACAGCAGGGTCCCTCAAGCAGTCAGTGATCAAGGTCAGCAGGGCTTTCTAACAGGGAGCTTCCTGGCTGGAGCAGCGGCCTCTTTTCCTGGTTGTGTAGCTGACAGTGTGTGTATCTGAGGTGGGCGGTTTGGAATAGATGCCTCCACAGTCCGAAGCTTAATGTCAGGCACTTACCTTACAACATACGAAGCTGATTGTCAGGCATTCACACTGGGCTAGAATAACTCTTAGTTACTCAAAACGAATTATTTTTGTAACATGGTGTTAGATTTGGTGGATCCAACATGGATGAAGTGACTGTATTATTTTCTTCTCTTGTACTGCCCTTAGTGGTCTCTGGAAATAAAGATGCACCAGCATCACTCATGACTCGGGAAGCTTTGGTTGATTTCTGGGTCTAGAGCAGCACTTACAGGGGAGGAATGGTTGGTTTTTGAAACGTGGTTGACTCACACTCCTGCACCGTTCCCGGGACGGGGCCTCTGGGAAGGTACCTTTGCCTTCAGTTCAATGTCTCTGATGTTCGTTCCCTTAGTCTGGTTTTCTGTTTTTGACCATAGTTTGACCTCTACAGTTTTCTAGAAATTTATCCATCTTATCTAAAATGTCAGACATTGGCATAGAGTTAGTTGATCATAAGTTTTTGTTTCATTTAAAATGGCCTGTATATATAATTATTTCTCCTTCTCATTCTGAATTTCCTATATTTTCACGGACAGTCTTGCCAGAGGTCTACTAACCTCTTTAAACTTTCCATTGAATCACAACCTGATTCCGTTCATCTTCCCTGTTTTTCCTAGTTCATTGAGTTCTGTCCTGTCTTTATTATTTACATATTCCTTTGCTTTGCTGTCCTTCTGCTTTTCCATCCTCCTAATGGAAATGATGAGCTCATTCCCTTTCATGCTTCCCCGCCCCAGTGACTGTGTTGAAAAGCTAGAGGTTTCCTTCCGTGCCCTGCCTTTGATACACAGACGTGCCCTGAGACCCAAGTCTTCCATCATTTATCTCTTCAGTGCCGTGGTGATTTCACTGTGTGTTTTAGGTATACAGAATTAATGAATTGATATTTAGAAATTGATTTAGAATTCAGTTGTATTATGGACAAAGTCTGTGTGATAATGACTAATTTGAACATACTAGGGCTTCCTGTGCGGCTCAGTAAATGTTAGATTTTCAAGCATTTTCCTTGTGTGCTTAAAGATAGTGTGTATGTTGTAGTCTTTTGTTGTCTGTATAAATCTCTATGTGACGAGTTATCTGATTCTTTTAATATTATTATTTAGATTATCTGTTCATTTTCTCTCCACTTCAGCCCTCAGTTTTTTAGGATATGTAAAAGTCTTCAGCTAAAATTTTAGATTTTCCATTTTTAGTCTTTTCTAAAGAAAAGAAAATAACACAAATAACAGAAAAGTGGAAAATATTTTCAAGTGTTATTCCCAGGGTTATGTGTGTTCATGATTATTATAGTTTCTTTTGTTTTTAATTTTTTTCCGCAGGTACTAGATTTCTTATGTCAGCTAGGTTTGTTTCAGATCTGCCTGAAATGTCTTTTCCCATTATTTCCACATTTCTATTTATTTCTTTTGTTACGTTTGACTTTGTTAGCTCTCATTGAAAATACAGTCTGAGAGTTCCTTCATTTTAATTGGTTAACTCAGTCAATTAGCAATTGCCATTATATTAAAACCATACAGTCGTATTATTAAAATGTTTTGTTTAGTATACCCTCTTTTTATTCATTTTCCCATTTGTTCCTTCCTAAATGACGGGCCAAATTCTGTTGTCATATAGGCTGCAGGTTCTAACTGTGCTCACGAAATGGCTTATCCTAACTCAACGTCCGCAGTGACGTTTATTTGCCCTGCTGACTGTGAGAACTGGTGACATCCTGTCCTCTCCCTGCTCCACAGAAAAGACCGGTGCTTTGCCCTACTTCTGTTGTCCCCTTTATCACCACCCTCCACCTCTGCTACGTTGATACTGACTACACTTTCAGTCTTGGGGCTTTTTAAATTGAAGCTGTTAGGGTGACATTGGTAATAAAATTATATAGGTTTCAGGTTACAGTTCTATAACACACCATCTGTAACTGTGTTGTGTGCTCACCACCCCGAGTCCAGTCTCCTTCTGTCACCGTTACCCCCCTTCACCCCTCCCCCCACCCCCACCCCCTTCCCCTCTGGTCATCACCACGCTGTCGTCTGTGTCTACGAGATTTGTTCTTTTTGCTTAATTCTTTCACATTTTCCACCCAGCCCTGCAAACCCCCCTCCCCTCTAGCAGCTGTCAGTCTGTTCTCTGTGTACGAGTCTGTTTCTACTTTGTTTGTTAGTCCTTTTGCTCCATTAGATTCCACATATGAGTGAAATTATGTGGCACTTGTCTTTTTTTGTGGCTTATTTCACTCAGCATAATACTCTCCAGGTCTATCCCTGCTGTCACAAACGGTAAGATGTCTTTTTTTTTTATGGCCGAGTAGCATTCCACTGTGTAAATGCACCGCAGACTTCCTTACCCACTCATCCACTGAGGGCACTTGGGCTGTTTCTGAACCGTGGCTGTGTAGACAACACTGCCATGCGCATAAGGGTGCGTGTATTCTCTGGAATTCATGTTTTGGATTCTTCAGAGAAATTCCGGGCAGTGGAATCACTGGGTCATAAACTGGGTCATAAACACCGTTTCTCTCACCCCTTTCTAAAAATGTAGTCTCTGCTTTTAAAGAGAACAACAAACTGTGTTAAATTATATGGTCTTTCTATTTTCCACATTTCTCATAGCATCCTGTCGGATGTGTTTCTCTTCTGTGGGGGAGCTCTTTCTAAAGCATCTGGAAGTGGTTCTTTGAATAGCGAAGTGTCTGAGGTTGAAATGTCTGCAAATATCTCTCTATTGCATTAAAACGACCACTCGTTGGGGCACAAATTCGGGACAGACGGCTCCTGCTCTCCCCTGTATGGAAGCAGCGCCCGCAGTCCGCAGGCGGTGAGCGCCGTGCGGTGAGAACAACATGTGTCTGAGTCTCGTGCTTCCACCGCTGCAGGGCTCTCTCTGCGCGTGTTTAGAATTGTGTTCATCTTTTGAGTTTTTGCAGTTTCCTTATGATGTATCTAGATGTGTGTTTTTTTAAAAAATATGTATTCTAAAAAACCTGTTTGTCACTCAAGGTACCATTTCAAACGAAGTAATTACACTTTCTCTAAACCCTGAAATCTCTTTTTCCCCAGACACCTCATCACCCTTCACTGTTTCTCCTACTTTTTAGGTGTCTACTCTTCATGGTGTCTGGTCTTCATGTTTCCTTGCTTTTCTGTTATATTTCCTGTTGTTTAATCTTTCATTCTGCTGGGTTATTTTTAATGATTTGTTAGTTGCAAAAATCCTAGTAGTCGTCTCATCTAAATGCTCTTTATTCCAACCACTGTAAAAACTCAATATTTCTGCTTGATTCATTTCTGCTTGTTTTTGCTTCAAATTACTTATATCCCCCTCTGCCTCTCTCTTTAAACCCTTTTACTGTGGACAGAAGACACATGCAGGAAATTCACAAGACGCTACTGTGCAGCCAGTGGTTACCGAGCAGACACCACGGAGCCAGTCCCCGGACAGGAAAGGGGACCTGCCAGCACCCAGGGGCCTCTCCTGACCAGCAGGTCACTGGTGAGCTTCTCAGGAAGTAGGAGCTCCTTTTACCCACAATGCCTAGCATGGTCCTGGGACGCAGTAGGTCCCCAGCACAGGTCTCTCGTATCAGGGAGTGTTACTTATTGAATATGTACTCATCGAATACTTTCTACTTGCAGAGATTCTAATCCCTTTGCAGTCAGACACACCCACGTGATTTGCTGGGACAGTGAGATGTGGGAAGGGACGTGCTGTTTCCAGGAGGGGTCAGGGAGAGCCAGCGTGGGGGTCCCTAGGTTCCCTGCCCTCAGCTGGGAGATGAGGGAGCAGACGTGAAGGCCTGTCAGCCTGGCTCCGGAGGGACTGACCCGCAGAGCTGCCCGCTGACCGCCCTGCACAGGAGGCGTGAGCCGAGACCAGGCGTCAGGGAACTCCCCCCGCAGCCCTGCTGGTCTCCTTCCTGCACAGAAGGCCCGGGAAGAGAGGGGCTCAGAGACTCGGAGTAGCAGGGAGGCAGGGGAGCTGGAAGAATGTTCCCTCACCTAAGTCAGGGGGGCGGGAATCTCAGGAAGGAGGAATGGCTCACGGTGTTAGAGTCCAGGGGCTGTGGGCGCAGACAAGGACCCCGGGGCCTGGTGGCGAATGGCTCCTGGAGCTGCTTTAGGAGCAGCTCCTCCCGGCGCCCGACCTGCCTCCTTCCACTCTGTGCA